TTAGAAGTTTGGGTGTAATCTGCAACAAAATGAAAGGTTTGGGACCAGCGTTGCAATTTTTTCGAGTCAAAATTACTGTTGGAACGTTGACTGACGGCTTTATGGACGGAATTAAAGGCTTGGGACCGACGCTGCAACTACATATAAAGGTTTGGGACTTCGGCCGCAAAAATAAAAAGTTTGGGTGTAATCTGCAACAAAATGAAAGGTTTGGGATCACGATCGCAATTTTTCCGTTTTATTATTGTGAATTCGCTATCTTCCTCTTTTTGTAATTTTTACAGTCAAATTTATGAAGAACTCAACAAAAAAATGTGCAAAGATATCATCAGATTGGACTACGTTATTTTGTAATAGTTAAAATTGAACACGTTATAGTCCAATTGATGTAGCGTTGTTGTAAATATAAAAAATAATAATTATTGTACGGAACCAAGGAACCGAATTGAATCAAATGAAATCGAACCCGAACGGTTCCATAATTAAATTTGGAACCGACAATTTTACTTACTAAATAGTCGAAAATTTCATTAGACCATGGCCAGCCCTAATTAGGATTCCAAAATTGGTATAGGCGGTTTGTTTACCTTTTCCCCCTTTATTATGGGATGTTTTCTATTCGAATAAAATCACTAGGGAATTCGTTCTTCTCGTCTCACTGTGTAAGTCAGAAATTGAGCTCGACCAAGAAAATTGACATTCCTGTTCAATAATATAAAATACAATTATTCCATAAAAAATATGTATCGTATTAAATAATACAGAGGCGTGTTAAATTCATTTAGAAGTCGCGTTTTGCTCCTTTAACAAAAACGACATCACTCACCTATCGATAACAATTATGCTATTTATACAATCATACTTGACAATATTAATGTTATCAAACTTCGAGCCATTGATTTAAAAACAACTTTTGAAATGAAAGAATGTGATATTACCGCGTATGAATTGCTAACCAATATTATCAAACTAGATTGTAATTCAATCGATAATCATCTTTTTACTCCTACTTTCTTGGTCCTTGACTCATCCGAGTGAACCCGGGACGACTCGGTGGCAACTCGCTCACCTTCTTGCCATCTCCTAAGCAGTTTTGATTCAGCTCAGCAACTCCGTAGCTCAGTACTGTTCACCTCATAAGTAAAACAAGAACACAACGAAAACAGGAAAAAAATTCATCCCAATCCCATGCCGGGAACGTCAGAATTTGCAAATGCAGGCTTTGCAAGCGAGCTAATTCGGACGAGTCACCCGAGTCAAAATCTGAGGAATTTGTTGAAGTACTTTTAGCATATAGACTTATCAGAATATAAAAGCGGTCGTGACTCGGCCCAGAGCTCAATGTTGCTTCTGATTCCGACATGGCAGTACCTCTGAAAATCCTCAAAGCTCATGAATCGGGCCGAATTATGATGATTCGATTCCGTGCGGGCCAGATATCGTAGAATTTCTTCAAACAGTGATTCATCGCAAGGAATGGTTAATGGACCTGAATTGGTGAATCCATACTCCTCCTCGGCCTGGATCAACAGTTTCTTGAATACTGGGTGGTTTAAATATGTAGTTCGAATGACAAATCTTTTGCAAGTGATGCCCACGGCGACCACCACGTGGCCGGCCGGGACGTCGGAGGGTGTGCGGCGGGAGGTGGCGGCTGCCTTCTTGCGCCAAAGTTTTAGCATCTGGCGGAGACGGACAATGTGGCGGATTTTGCTACATGCAGGCATGATTTTTTGTTTTCTTTGTGACGAGTCTGTTAGAATTTGTTGAGTTTTGTGTTGAACGAGAGCGTGAGGGGTTGAAAGTGGGAACGAAGGAGGTTATATAGAGTTGGGAGTAAGAAAATGCCCTTAATTTTTGGCAATAATCACAATTGAGGTTAGGTAGTGGGTGGGAGGGTATGGTGGGATATATGCTTGACTGCTTGTGTTTGAAAGAATGCGTGGTTAAAAAGTAAGAAGAATTTTTTGATTTATGGGTAATATTATTTTATTGATAGAATGTGTGGTTGAAATGATAAATAGAATGGATGTCAAACAAGGGCTAATTTGATATATAAAACGTTTTCATTTCTTCGTGTCATCAATTTCGTAATACCAATCGGGAGAATAACAAATTATCTACATTTTTTCTTTCGAAAGTGGAAGGCATGAAAGGTCTTCTTTTGGAGTCCCGAGCCATCAACAAGATACCATTTCGGAGGAGTCAAACTTCCTTTCACTTGATAAGTAAATTTCTTAGAATGACATTCCCTTACGTGTTTAATTGTGGCGCACTCGATTTATTTAAAGTAATTCTCACTTCATTTGTTCCTTGGACAAGAAGAGGCAAATGAAAGAAAGAAGTACGCTTTCAAACATATGAGTGCACTCGATTTATTTAAAGTAATTCTCACTTCAATTGTTCCTTGGACGAGAAGAGGCAAATGAAAGAAAGAAGTACTATAACTTTCAAACGTATGATAAAGAAAATGACCATGAGGTATAATACGTTCCAACTATTTGAGTAGTCGTTAATTTCATTTGAACTTAATTATTACCACTTTATGTTTGTTTGAGTGTATCTTTAGTAAATGTTTGGCACTTAATACTATTTAAAACCCGCAATAAAAATGAACAAAATTGTAACTTTTTCGCTCAACCCGATTAATTTTGCTTGGTTTTTGTACATAAATAATGTGATCAATAAAGGGTTTTGCTACAAGGTTTGGGAGGACAACAATTGCTAGTGTTATGCGTTTTCATACCATGACATTTGGAAGTAAGAATGAATTTAAGCCATTGTTTGACACCCATTTTGAAAAAGAATTTGATTTGGAATAGTGATTAATGGAAGAATGTGTTGTTAAAAAATAAGAAGAATTTTGAGTTTATGTGTAATATCATTTATTGATAAAATGTGTGGTTTAAATAAAGAATGAGAATAAGAATGAGGAAAAATGAATGTAGATAAGTAATCCAAACCCTCCACATGCAAAGCTAGAGAAAAAGTTTATTAAAATCAATTTTGTTCTAGATAGTTAGTTGGCTTGACCCTATGCATAAGATGCTTTAGTTTTGTCAATATATATATATATATATATATATATACACACACAAAAAAATGTTTGAATTTATAATTTTATATTCACCCTATACCATGAACCCATGTGCAAGCCTGTCCCATCTATCCTTTTCTTTTAAAAATATTCCCTGCAAAACTGGCCACTTTTTAATTGGGTTTCCATTTGTACCGAAAATAGATGACAACGAGTTTGACAACTTCTTACATGCGTGCGAGCCACGCGTGAATAAAAAATTCCAATAAAATGTGGGCCCTTCCTTTATTGTGAGAGTTCGATCAAAGTATTTATCAACTATTTTCGATAAGTGTAGCATTGCTCCTTTTTAATTACTATAGTTCTTTCATTGGAATTTAATTAAACTATGTATTTTCTCTTATAAATTTATATTCTTTTTTAGTGAAAACTAGGGTAGATGAAATTATGATTCAGAAGAAGTTAAAATTCAAAAAATACGTGATTCCGAAACTGAAAGATTGTTGAGTGATGACTGAAATCAAGAATAGAATATTATCTTCATTACAACTTTTCCTTGTCCAATTGTTAATAATTTTTTAAGAAATATACTTATGACTATATTTGCTATGGTATTATAGTTATTCACGTCAATGTCCTATCTGATCCAACGCATATATACGTTTATGCTTGATGCTTTTTCGAAACGCTTCACATATGGGTATGCGCGTGATAATATGATCAACACATTTCGTTGACTGTATATGCACACTTACACGTTAAAATTGTGTCAAAATTAACCTAATAAAGTCGGCCCATTTTTATAACTTAAAAAAGACAAATTGAGTCTAACAAATATCAAATTAACTCAAATCACCCAAACCCATGAATCAAATACAACAATAGGCTTTTGGCGTTTAAAAAAAGATTAAGAATCATAACAAATATTTCGTAAAGTTGCAAACTATTTAAAGCCAAGCCCGAACTTCGTTCTTCGATATTTCTCTATTTTTACTATTAAGTGATGCTAGTAATGAATAATTTTGGATTGTTGATGGTTGTGATGAAGAGGATGAGGTTAACAATGATATCCTACCATTTACAAAAGATAATAGAAATTCTTGAATTGAAATAAGGGATCCGATGAAGATGATTTTAGGTATCGTCTTACAGAGATTGATTTAATTCAATTTTAA